GGCGAGAAAGAAACAGCGACTGGATCAGGAGCCGGGTTAGCAGAGGCCATGCTCCCCCGGCGAGAAAGAAACAGCGACTGGATCAGGAGCCGGGTTAGCAGAGGCCATGCTCCCCCCGCCAGGCGAGGGGTTCCTGTGCCCAGCCCCCACCCTGTCCCAGCTCGGGACGTAAATCCCCTTGATTTGGTTGACTGGGGGGTTGCAGTGCCACCTCCCCGTGCTGTGGACAGGGACTACTCCGGCCAGCGTCAAGTCCGCAGCAGGCTTCTCCAGTCCCCACCAGTCCACCGGCGCCGCTGACCATTCACATCCCTTGTCCCCGCGCCGGGCGAGGGCCCGTGTGCATCTGGCGCCCACCGTGTCCCAGAGGGTCCAGGTGCACCCAGGTCTCAGTGCTCGGTTAACCTTGTTTCCCATCCAATTTCCAGAGGACGGCTCTGACGGGGAGGATTCTGGGATTGATTCGAAGAAGCTGAAACCGGCTCCTGTCCAGAGGGATGCTGGGAAATCTGGGTGCACAGGATCATGGGAAGATGAGGGAGACTCTGGGGCAGAGGAGATCCCCGATCAGGGCAGCACTAGTGGCTCCGGCAGCGTCGGTTAACCTTGTTTCCCATCCAATTTCCAGAGGACGGCTCTGACGGGGAGGATTCTGGGATTGATTCGAAGAAGCTGAAACCGGCTCCTGTCCAGAGGGATGCTGGGAAATCTGGGTGCACAGGATCATGGGAAGATGAGGGAGACTCTGGGGCAGAGGAGATCCCCGATCAGGGCAGCACTAGTGGCTCCGGCAGCGAGAGCGACTCCGAATGGGCAGCCGGGAGCAAGGCAAGGAAGCAGCCGCCGAGGAGGGGGCAGGAGGGCGCCACACGGCAGAGCCAGCCGGGGCGGAAGCGAGCAAGAGGGACACAGCGAAGGGGTGACTCTGAGGAGCAGGGCAGAGTAACAGTGCAGAGGGAGGAGGAATCGGCAGGGAAGAAGGGAGCGAGGCAGGCAGGGAGAGGGAGCAAGCAGCGGAGGACAGAGGAACCGGGCAGCGAGGGGGAGCAGGCGGGGCAGGCCGAGTGGAGGAGTGGGAGCGAGGCTGAGGGGACGGGGGAGGAATCGGAGAGCGAGGCAAGCGAGGAAGAGGAGGGGAAGAGGCAAACGCAGGCAGTGGGGAAGGGCCCAGCAGAGCCAGAGCCGGGGGGTGCTAGGAAGAGGAGGCCGAAGGCCCAGAGCGAGGACTCAGGGAGTGAGGAGCCGAGGGAGAGCAGGAAGCCGGCAAGACAGAAGCGCACAAAGACAGCAGCCTCAGGCAGCGAGAGTGAGGAAGAGGAGAGGCAGCAGAGGCTGAAGGCCAAGGAGGAGGGA